GTCTTATACTTTATATTCAAACTGCAGAGGGGAAGAATAAGAAAAAAGCCAATGTCTTGTGATTTGGAAGTATTATTAATAGTAATATATATTAATTATGTATTGGTCAGATGAAAATATAGACCTACAGTATGAGGTTTAATCAGATCTATTTATTAAATTGGGTTTAACTTAAAGATAAATTAAAATCTATTCACTGACAAAGTTTCAACTTTAATTTGTTTAATTTGTTTCAAGTCAATATCCATATTAAACTCCAAATGTAAATTTTTCCACCTTGTTTGACAACTTCTTAAAAATAATTCAATCTTTTACAAGCAACCAAATTTTGTTTTATTGGGCCAATTTCATTCCACATAGAAAGCTGACATTTCCACTCATTAAACTAAATGGGTATGCCAATGGTAAATGTCCAAAAAGATTAATAAAATGCTTTCTTGTAATTTAAAGCCACACAGTGCGTGGTAACATTAATAGTATTAACTTACCTTGAACAAAATCCTAGTCTTTTAGATACAGTAAAAATTGAAAGGTTTTTTTTTCAACTACAAAGGTAAACCTTATAGCAGGGCTTTTCAACCGGTGGTATGCGTACCACTGGTGGTACGCGACCACCTAGCTGGTGGTACGTGGCGTCGCCTTCCCCCCCGCGTCGCCTTCCTCCCCCCTCCTCCGCTCCTTCCCAGCTCACTTGTTTGTGGAAAACATGCTGTTTGGCGGCAGCCTGTACAAATCCTACCGAACATGCCCTGCAGGGGGCGCGCGAAGAGCGCAGGTGCAGAGCAAGGCCCGCCCTTCCCAGGGACTCATTGTGCAGCAACCGGATTGATTTCTTCTGGTGCACGCAGGTCAGCGGGATCTGTATTGCCCTTCCCCTCCCTCTTCTTACTGACGCGCGCTAGGCAAAGCCAACAGAACGTGGGTGTGGAGGGAGAAATGCGCCCGCCTGACTCTCTCCCCCTCCCCACTGTTGCGCAGCATTTAACCCTTCCCCATTTCCACCACAGCCGGCCTCCCGCCAAGTTGAAAAGCCCTGGCTTAAAGTCTGAAACAGCTGGGCTCTTGGCTGACTGATCGCCTTTCTCCCCCATCTTTTCTACAAACCGGGAATCATGGCTTAGTGGGGGCCTGGAGCGGGTCTTGGGATGCCCGTGCACCCCTTGGATCAGACAAGCGAGCGGGGCTGATCTCTTCCTGCTAGGGAAAGCTGGAG